TTCTCAAAACAGTCAGAGCTTCTGTTCGTTAAATTAGTGCACAAATAAATGTTATCTAACCCAATTTAACCATATTTTATAGTTGTTAAAGGCATTACTCGTTAATGTGCAAACAGTCTAGAAATCTAGAATTAAAAATGGCGGAAAAAGTCAAACATGTTTATTTAGTATGGATACCATGCCAAATTGTTGATGCAGTTAACGTTTATTACAAACCTATCAATTTATCTCTAATGTTAAATTTCTTGTTGTTTTCTTAGCAAGCACTAGAGAGCCCGGTGCAGAATCTGCTGAAGAAAAAGCCGTGACTGGTTCCCCTTCAAACCAGCTTAAACCCCCCCTGCTCAGCAAAGAGAAAGGTTTTGCTCTGTTACCAGGAATCCATGGTGTTTTCACCAGCACTGCTTCAACAGATTGGAGGAGAGAAACGAGATCTGGAATAATCTCACTGAATCCATCAGGAGATTCGTCATGGATGGCAGGAAAACCGTCTCATACATCAGTGTCCCCCACCTCTCCCATCATCAACCCGACCTGTAAACTCCCCCCAGGCTACACACCCATTCCCACCCTACTAGCTAAAAGTGTAGGCAACAAAGTGACGTTGATGAGAAGGCCCACAGATTTCACATTTGATAGGCAGCTGAAAGGGTCTCACCCCAACTCTGTAGTGGTTAGTCCAAAAGCACAAAATTTTCCTTCCAGTGATAACCATTTGTCCCAACCAGTGACAACAAAAGCACCACTGCAGACTATATCAATGGGAGCCCTTCCAAGGTCCCCACAGGGGACTGTATCCCAAACTGAGCAGGAAAGCCCCGTCCAAGTGGTGTGTAAGGTTTCTGAGATGATTAAAAAGGACAGCAGCATCTCAGCCAAGATCCCTTCTGTAGTGGATAAGAATACTGTGGAGAAGGTTATGCACCAGGTGTTGTTCCTGCCTTCCAGCCATGTCGTCCAGAAAAATGAAACAAAGCCAACTTTTGTAAATCCACAGCAGTCTGTCATTCAGGTTGCAGTTTCTGAGGCGGCCACTCCTGTTTGTATAGCGACCGATGTGCCTGGATTCAGCATCCCTGATGGTAAAATCCCTGTTCAGCAGGTAGCCCCACTTACAAATGCAAGGACGCAGGGGAATCCTGCTCCCTCTGGTTCCCAATTCCTTCAACAAGGGGCCTCAAACTTAGTGAGACCTAAAGGGGGGCAGGTTTGCACTGCTAAAGCCAGCACACTAAAAGGTGGCTTGCCATCCCCATCCGCCGTCACAACGGCTACCAGAGCAGCCGCTGCAGAGACAGTTAAATTTTCAGAGCCTAAACAGGAGCTGAAGACAGTCTGCATCCGGGACTCTCAGTCCATCCTGGTAACGACTAGAGGGGGCAACACGGGCATCGTCAAAGTGCAGGCATCCTCAGAGCAGAATTCACTGGGTTCTTTCCCTGCAACTCCTGTTATCACCATATCTCCTCAGTTAAAAGCCTTTCTCGTATCTAAGACATCAGCGACTCTCGCTGCTACTGTTCCATCTCCCTCTGTCTTGGAAACAAGTCCATCTGTGGCCACAACGCAAAAGCACGCTCCTTTAGTTTTAACAGCCCCCCAAACTGCCATCAATTCCACAACAACCGCAGTTACAAGTAGCACCCCTATAAAAGGGTCTGCGAGTTCTCCTTTTTTGCCGTCAACAGTGAAAAGCACGGTTGTTGTGCCATCCCTGAGCAGTTCTGGTTCTTCCAAACTCTCTGTGCAAGAAGCAGTCAGTAAGACTGTTGCAAAACGAAACGGTACAGAAGAGATATCCCAGGTTACTAAATACATCCTGGTGACTTCATCTTCAAGCCAACGCACGTCAGAAGGGACACCCTTTACCACACAATCCACCACCGGTTCAGGAGTTATACTCATTAACCAGGCGGGGGTGACAACGCCCACCACCTTCAGCGGAGCCGTTCCAAAGCACATGATGGGACAAGCGCCGTTAACAAATCCAGCTCCAAGAATGGGAAGAAGTCCAGCCAAACCTGCTGTGTGTGTCGGCTCAGAGGTGTCCAAGGCCTGCAGCAGTACTCCCCAAGCAGGTATGAGGTACCCTTGCAACAACTGAAAATGAACTTCGAAATATCTTCTGAGATTCTCTGAAGATCTTTCAAAGTCTTTCTTTGTACGTTAGCTATGTTTTTGAATTCATTTATAGCCCTGTCTTGTGCTTGAATGTTTTCAGATGTTAATGCGTCTCGCAAATTAACTAGATCTAATTTAAAACTGTGTGTTTGAACAAGAAATTACAGTTTTTTTTCAGACTGGTAGTGCACCCTACTGAGTTCAGTCATTTCAATTAGACACAATCGAGCACTTGTCAAGTTGTGTAAAGCATCTACACTAATAGAGGTAGAAAACTTTCAAGTGACATAATCAAGAATCTAAATGTCAGACCTTTAACTTTGAACAGGTTGACAAATCACTAGAAAACTTTTTAGATCTTACATTTAAGTGTTTGTCGAGTTAAAAGAGGTAATTTAAGAGTTTTGAGAAACCAAACAGAACGTAAAAACTTTGGGGTCCTTCGGGGTACACTAACCCTAATTACAATGTGTGCTCTATACTGTTTACTCAGTTTATAACTAAAGGACTTGCTCTGGTAATTGAATTACATATAACAAGTAAATTCCTTTTATATTTATGTTTTTGTCTCACCAGGCATTACAGTCCCATTGTTAGGAAAATCCACAAGAATTGGGCAGACTATCGGTGCCCTGTCTCACTCCCCTTCGAAAGTCTCACCTGTGCCTTTGTTAGGCTCCTTGGGTCACACAGCTGCTACCACTACTGGACTGGTCCCCATGACAAATTTATTCCCCATCACAAATAGTTCCTCCCACATTGATACTCGCACTTCTCTCTCCGCTGTTTCCCCAATCAAGAGCATCCCTTCCACCTCTGTGATCTCACAAACAAGCCGCCAATCATCTGCTACTGCCGTTCTGCCCCCAGAAAAAACAAACAGGAAAGAACTCTGCAACCCTGCAGCCACACCGCTCAGCAGCTCTTTGGCTCCGGTAACAGCGCCCTTGAGGAATTGCCTGGCCCAAACGCGCACAGCCTTCCCCGACCAAAAGCTGTTGCATAGCAGAAGTACCCCAGCTGCATCAACCTCGGCGTCCTCAAACTCAGCTTCTGGCCCAGTTACACAGAGGATAATCCTCAACACTTCCACTCACCTCACTGCTGGAACACAGATCGTCCTTAATAACTCCTGCTTTGTAGTCCCACCACAGGGTTTGGGTCCTGGCAGTCATGTCCTTATCATCTCTAATCCTGCAACACAAATGCCTGCAGCCACCTCTACTAATTCTGAGGCATTTTCACCCCCTAAAGGAACAAGCCCTGCCATTGTAACTTCTCAAACAGCAAGTTTATCCCAGTCTGCAGCCAGGCTGCCCAGCATGCCAGCTGTAAGTTCTCAGTTTGTGGCTTGCACCCCAGCGCTTGGTCAATCCTTGCTGGCAAGCAGTGCTCATGTCACACCGTTTCGACTTACAGGAGCACCTGGCATGTGCTCAACAGGGATTCCCAGTAAAACAAATGTAGTATCAGCTCTACCTAGACTCCCATCTGCTCCTGGATGTACATTTGTGTTACCTCCTGTTTGTGCATCCACTTTAATCTCTTCCCCACCAAGGTTATGCAGCGTCCCTGCCTTAGCTTCACCAGTTACAACTACCCCCCCTTCTCTCAGCTCAGCGCTCACTACAATCAGAGTCCCTGGTACAGCCACATGTACCGTAACATCTGCGGTATCCACCTCTGTGCCCAAATTGTCAGAACCTCCATCAGCCTTGCCTGCTTTACTCAATTCATCAACAGGTGCCTTTTATAACCCTGTCCCTGCAGCTATCCCCTCAGCCGCAGCTTCATTAGTAACAGACTCAGCAGTTTTGCATCGTTCCCCCTCTGGCCAGCAAGCGGGGCCAGGAAAGATGCCGCTAACAGCAACGGTGCCAGTTGTTCAGTCTGGTACTCGGACACAGGAACTGCCAACAGTGGCCATCCAGCCGATTTTAAATCTGGCATCCAGGACCCAAACACTGCCCGTCGCCACTGTTCAGCCAATTGGAAGCACTATCAGCACCTTTGAAATTTCTTCCCCACCAGCTAGCAGCACTCTAATAACCCCAACTCCACCAGTTGCAACAATGATGAGTAAAAGCTCCATCAGTCAAACTGTTTTAGCGACTAGCCCAGCACTTAAGACAAACACTGTGGAGACATCAGCTTTGGGTGTACATGCCAATTTACCATCCAAGCTGCTCATCAGTACTGATGGTGCCGTGTTGAGCTCCATTCAGCCAGAGAGGACTGCATGCCCCAAACCCCGGAGTACTCTGGTGGTTTCCCTCAACACCTCCGGTGGGGTACTACAAACAAATGATTCCCATTTACAGCCTCACGGTGGAGACACAAAGTGAAACTGCTAAAAATAAATAAAAGATTAAGTCTATCTTTTTACAGGTTTAGCTAGTAGTTCGTCAGGACGCCGCTTCTAGTGAAGGCTGCTTTCGGCCGTCCTTCAGTCCACCTCACATTTTTAGCACCAAGTTGATTTTACGACCCGATTGTATGATCTTTCATATGAGACGGCTGATGACACACTAACACAATAGATTTTACTGACTTTTTGGAGTTCCAAATAAAAAAAATGAATGTTGCAAACTTTTAGAAATGCACTTCTTGGCCAGTTTTTACAGCAACCAGTTGGATGGAAGTGTATGGAAATAATAAAGTCAGTTCTAGATAAATGTTTGAGATGTAATTGGTTTACTGTTGTTTATCTCTCCTACTAATTACAACTGCCTACATTCGTTTGTCCTGTCTTTTTTGTTTTTTTTTACATAGTCTTGGAAAACTGTATTTACTTTTTTGTAGAAATATGAACTAATAGATTAATTTGTACAACATGTTTGAGTCCATTAACTGTTTTGAATCACATTTATTTATTTTTACCATATAGATTTAAAAAAAAAAATTTACTAGGTACATTTTCATTGATGAGCTATGGACAATACTGCATGGAAATAAACAATGCGACTGTCCCTAAAGTGTGTTCATGTTGTTTTTTTTTTTTTTTTTTTTTACTGAAACAGTCAAATCATTTATTGTATCTTTATTCATAAGTAGATTTTTACAAAGCAATAAAAACTTTTTATTTTATCCTTTGGTGCAGTTAAAATATGAATCATGCTGACAATGACTCGTATTTTCAGCCGACGGGTCAAGTTCTGATGTAATGTCTTGAGATTTTCCCGTTTCTCTAGATGTTGGTGAGTCCGTCCCTCAGGGGGAGTAAGGAGGTGGCAGCGCTCCTGGAGACAGCTTCTCATAGGCTGGAGGAGCATTAGGCACCTAGGGTAGAGATTGAAAAACATCAGAATATTATAAGTCTTTGATTTGCAGAGAAATGTAATGCTTTTAAAATGTTACCTTAACCAGAACCACATGGTTTACATAGTGTGCACTTTGACACCCCTACTTAAGATGTGTATAAAAGCTTTCAAAGTCTTCTTATATAAAGATATTCTTGTCTAACAAAAAAAAGGATACACCCAACCCTAATTTGTGCATCACTTGTGCCACAATCAGTTGATCAAATTCATTATTTCGTGTTTTACCTATGATTTATCACAGATGAGGCCTTATGATGGCAAGCATAACATTTAAAAATGCAAATATTTCAAACCAACAAGACATGCAGGATTTATTCAAGTTAACCTCAACAAACATCCAACACCACTGGGGCGACAGTGGTGTCGGATGTACTGTAGGAGTTTGCCCTTAAATCAAAGGATTGACGGTTCAAGCCCCGGCTCCGACTTTTAGTGTCGTCGTGTCCTTGGGCAAGACACTTCACCTCCATTGTCTACTCATGGTGGTCAGTGGCGCCAGTGTACGGCAGCCCCACCTCTGTCAGTGAGCCCCAGGGCAGCTGTGGCTACAATGTAGCTTGCCACTACCAGTGTGTATGAATGAATGTAGTGTAAAGCATGAGAATGTTAACGGAGAAAAGCAGTCTGCTCTCCGCAAACTATGGCCTTTAAAGTGACCATCTGGTCAGATGATATTAAGATTTTTCATACGTCGGAGGATCTTTGGTACTGGGAGCTTGTTCGTCTTCCAGAACCTTTAGAGACAAAGTGTGTGGCCCAACGGAAAAGAAAGGGAACTATAGATGATATAGAGATGGTTAAGTAATTAATAGTCAAATATATATTTAAAAAAAGTGAATTTAAGCTGCTGAAATGGGATGTTATTTATTGGAAAGCTTATTTCACATCTTTACTAAGGGTGCCAAAAACTAGTTGGTTCTGTAAAATAAAATAAAAAATGTTCTGGTCTGAGCTTCCCCTATGCTTGCAGACCTGAGTGCATTCACTTCCATTAGCCAGGGGACATTTTTAATACCTAGGCATAGTCTGGTGACTTAATAATCTCCCTCAGGCATCTACTGCATTGCATCAGCTTTGCATGTACGACTCTGTTCTCAGAACTTTGGGGATTTATCAGTTGCTTGTTTTTTTTTTTTTTTTTCTTAAATACATACACACATATATGTGTGTGTAAAAAGACCATATAAGGCATAATATAAGTATTCATCCCTCACCACAGATCGGAGGCTGCCAAAGTCAACAAAAGCCATTTTGTTGTCTGCTGAAGTTCCTGCCTCAGAGTAGTGGCCTGCTGTAAAAGCTGCAGATCCTGATCCGGTGTTCTGCAGGTGAAGAGAAAATATGTGAGGTGTTGCCAGAAAAAGACGAAGAAAGATTGTAAAGACATATGATATATTACCACACGGAGAGTGTAAATAACTTAAAAGGATAATTGAAGTGAAGAGTGGTGTTCTTACCCTGATTATTTTGTAGCCGCTTCTCTTCTTGAGGTACCAGCAGCCCAGGAGGAAGAGGCCAGCCAGGACAACAACCAGAAGGCCAATTCCTACTGCTCTGAAATACAGTTATACATAAACTTATCTGTTAGTTTAAAATGTTTATCCAGAGCTTTTCCCCTCCAGTTTGTGACATACAATATATTGGAGATTCATAAAAGTTAATTTCTACATAGGAGTTCAATAAGCCCAGTTTGAGAACCAGAGCTGTGTATAAGGTCTGTGCCGCTTCATTTTCATAACCTGATAGATAATCTCTTACTCCTCAGCTCTGACGTATCCCCTCCTTCCACTGGTGAAGTAGATGTTGAAGTCTCCACGAGGCATTCCTGCTGTATGATTGCACAACATCAAGCTGGAAATCAACCAGAAACAGCTTTAAATTAAGGAATAAAAAAGTTCATTTTCACAACATGTGGTCCAAGTTTTACATTTTGCTTTCATTAAGTAAAAGGACATATTTTGAGTTAATTTTATTCACTGCATAACTCCATTTTACATGCTGTAACACTACTAAGAACTATTAAGCTGAATGGAATATGCAGCAGTTACATCCTGCGATATCAGTCTATTATCCTATCATCATAAAACTGTTTATAGAATTCTTATTCTCAGTATTTGCACACAATTATTTTAAGTAAGCCTATTTTTCTAACATTCAGTTAAATTGATTGCATGGCATATTTGAATGTTTTATGTTTTTTTCTGTCAAATTTAATTAATTTAAGAAAATAAATACAATTATATAAACAATTATGTCATCAGAATTGTCAGGAAAATTGGTTTTTCAGCAGCGAACACCTGTTGAAGCTAAGGATGAAGCTGCCTCTTTCATCTGTCATGTTTTGGAAATTTTGATAAATTAAAACCTTTACCTAATATTACATTTAAACTTAATTTCACTTCATTTGACTATAAAAAAGCTGAAAGATTGTTTTCTTACCTGATTATTCCCAGATGGTAGGGCACGCTCCTCCTGATTGGAGAGCCTCCTCAGACTGTGGCTACCAAGCTCTGTGTTTCTTCACTCCTTAAGGGTCTTTCCTCAATCTGTGGGAATTCAGAGAGGCAAAAAAAAAATTCCTCATGACCGTCACGGGTTAGAGACTCATGGTTAAACCCATTGAAACGGAGTAATTACCGTGAAACCCCCGCAGCCTTAAGTACAACACTCCTGTCCACTCGTGAAACTTTTAAGAGTCAGCTGCTGGCCTTTCATGTGAAAGATAATGTGTTTTTTTGTTTTTGAGATGTCTAAGAACTGCATTAAACTTAGATGTTTCCAGAAAATAATCATTCTCCAAAATATTTTGGTTAAGCTGTCTTTTAGGTTATAACATTTCCTCACCAATCTTGTCTCATTTTTTGTTTAATAAGAAAAAATAAGTTTTACCATGTTTGGCAAAACATGGTCTTTCAAAAGCTCAGTTATGACTTTTGATTTTGTTTTCCCTGTGTTCATCTATAAAAGGGAACATCTTTCCCATAAGAGATGAGATGCACAGCAGTCTCAGGGTGAGAACAGCATTCAAGTCTGTTTGTATGCAGGCGACATATTGTTTGCATATCAGCAGCAATTTATGTTTAAATTCCCACAGATACATTCGAACCTTGTTTAAATCTAAAAACAATTAAATAGATTTACACATCAATATTATATTAAACTCATCAAATAATGGTCAAGATGACATGTTGACTGGATAAACATTAGAAATAGAAAATGCATCAAGGTTTTGGAATATTGGGAAGTACTAATGTCATCTCGCAAAAGCAAGAAGTGTGTTGTCAAGGGGAGTGTTGGCCTAGTGAGTTAGAGCAGTGAATTTGTGCTCTGAGAAGTTTGCAAGTACCTGGTTCAATCCCCACAGCCTGCTCTCTGTCCAGTGGCAGCCCACTGCTCCCCAAGGGGATGGATTAAATGCATATAATTAATTTCTCAAATGTGTGATCAATAAAGTTCAATTATTACTGAAAAAATTATAGAAAAAGGAACTGCAATAAATGCGAGACATGGATGAAGATACCCCGCAAATTTTAGTGGATATATTGGAAATGTACATTATTTAGCAAAAAAGGTGTCTGAAATCCAACATAACTAAACTTAACTAAAAAGAAAAATATACACTCATAAATGTTGCACACAAATTTGAGCATTTATGTGATTTTATTACACAAAAGATCCGATTTACTTTTTAACATTTTTGACACCTATTCAATAAACCAGACATGGTACATGTGTATTTGTATTTATTTCAAATAAATAATCATCTGGTTTATGTATTTTGAATTGATAAGGTATACTTACTCAAAGTGAAAACTTATGAATGTCCATCCATCCATTTTCTGATAAGCTTAATCCCAAGTGGGGTCACGAGGGGTGCTGGAGTTTATCTCCAGCTGTCTACAGGTGAGAGGCGGGATACACCCTGGACAGATTCCCAGTTCATCGCAGGGCAACACAGAGACAAACGGGACAATCAACCATTTACACACTCATTCACACCTAAGGAGAATTTAGAGAAGCCAATTAACCTAACAGTCATGTTTTTGGATTGTTGGAGGAAGCCGGAGTACCCAGAGAAAACCCATGCATGCTCAAGGAGAACATGCAAACTCAAAAAATTGATGGTTTCTAAATTACTTATGAATGTATTTATTTAAAATACTTGAAGTTTATTGTTTGAGTTGCACAAAGGTAACCCTGATTATTATCCAACTGAAAAAAATATTCTTTATGTATTTGAAATAAATATTTGAATATCCATCATTAAAGGTTGTCTTTTTATTAAACAAAAAAAAAGAAGTAAATGGAAATTTGCCATGCCACAAAATGACTTAAATTTCAAAAATTGAGGGTTATATTTTTTGGTGTATAGAAAGTATGACGCATGGTGTGTTTCTCATCATAATTTCAGCTCTTTAGAACAAAATAAATTAACATAGGAAATGCAGCAACTTTTAAATAAAATTCAGTGAAGAAAACAATCCATGCAGCGCAGCAAATTGATGACATGCTTGCATGTAATCAAAATACAAACAAAAGCATTGCTAATTAAATGAGATTGAAAGACTAGAGCTCTGCTTGTAAAGACCTCAGATTAACACTGATTCTGAAATCACAATAAGACATTAACATAATTTGTTAAAGTTATATGTTGGCAGAATGATAAAAGGATGAGGATCATCGGGGCTCCTCTCCCCTCCATAACAGACATGTCATCCCAGCGCTGCATGTCCGTGGCCCGTAACATCATCAATGACCCCTCACACCCTCACCATGGACTGTTCTCCCTGCTGCCGTCTGGGAAGACACTTTGCAACATTTGATGCAAGACCTGCAGGTTCTGCAACAGCTTTTCCCCTCTATGCCATCAGACTGTTGAACTACTGAAAAACTATAATCAAGTCACAAATCGAAACTGTGCATCACACTGATAACACCATACTTGTTTTACATGGCGAAAATACAAATTAGAACTCAACTATAATGTCTTTAACTGCATTTTGCACCATATCTATATGTGTATTTTTGCACTACATTTTTACATTTTAATCACTTCTGCGATTTATTGTGCTTTTCAGTGCTAAGCTGTTGCTAAAAAAAAATAAATAAACTCACCGTGTATACAAAATGACAAGTCTAAAAGCCCACATTATTAAATGCACATATGCATCCATTCTGACCACTTTTATTAAGTGTGACAATACAGAGAAACATAAAAAAAGAGGTGTCAAGCAATGTTGTATAAAACCTTTCAGTATCTGTATCGAAATGCATTTTTCTGGAGACTCGTTACTTTTTATTCATTACATTTGAACACAAATACGACTTTTGACTCCTCATTTTTTCCATACTTATTTTTATAAACACTGATAATGCATTTGTTTTAGCTATGGGGAGTGTTGGCCTAGTGATTAGAGCACTGTGCTTGTGCTCTGAGATGTTGCAAGTACCCGGTTTGATCCCCACAGCCTCCACTCTGGGTTCCTGAGCAAAACCCTTAACCCCACACTGCTCCCTGGGCACTGCACAATGGCAGCCCACTGCTCCCCAAGGGGATGGGTTAAATGCAGGGAGTGAAATTCCCCATTGTGGGAAAATAAAAGGGATTCACATAATGACATGATGCAATAGCAACAAAGGGAAAGTCAAGAGCGTACAGATAATCTGTCCAAAAATTCTGACCACATTAGGATGTTTTATCTTCTGTATACCATCACAGTGAGCAAAGAGGAATATTAACTCATTTTCTGTGCATAAAACTGCAGTTTTAAAAGTTACTCTATCATTTAAGGTAAAAAAAAAAAAACTAATTTTATTTTTGTACGATACAGGAACCTGTAATTTTGAGCTTTAGCTTAAGAGAAGGAGTTCAATTGCTAGGCTGCTTGTACTTTTACCAGTTTTTTTTTTATTGTTTTTCTTACACAGGTATCTGTAGTTTGCATAAATAAAGAATGCAAGTACTTCTTGACAGCTTTCAACATAATTTCATGTCTTACTCTATTTAATCCATCCCCTTGGGGAGCAGCGGTTGATTACCTGTTTCTTTATATTTGATACCCAATGCAATAGTTATATAGATAAATACCCACCTATATAAATACCCATGTAAATATCCTTTGCAACAACCATGTATAATAATCCTGCTTAAAAAAAAAATTTCTCCATTGTGAGCAGTGGCGGTTCTAGACCAAATGTAGGCTACTAGGGGGCCAGGAGAGGGCCAGCTTGTTTTCATGGGGGCACAGAAAAGCATGAAATAAAAAACAGGGCCAGGCATTCAAATATATTAAGATAGCTGCATAAAGTGAAATTTCTATTCAATAGGTTTAATTAAAATGCCTTATTAGGTCAATATACATTCATAATTTAGGAATTTAACGTATTTTTGTCATAATTTAAGGTAAAATTACAGTTTTCTATCAAATCTGAATTAGAACTCAAGAAAAACTGATAAATTCAGCTGTAAAAATTTGAGCAATTTGTTTTGAAAAAAAAAAAAAAAAACATTTAGCAGAAGAAAACTGGGATCCTATCTCAATACCAGTGAAGCTATCAGCTTATTGCTTTTAAATAATTAGAAAAAACAGAATTTGTAAAGAAAAAAGATCCAAAGGACCTATCAGTAACTATGTTTGTTCCAGCGCATATTATCATTACAATTTCTTTGAGTAGGCTATTATGTCTTCAGTACAGGGGCCATATTAGGGGACAGGACATGATCTACAGGGGCACTGGCCCCCGTTGGCCCCTTTTTTAGAACCGCCCACGATTGTGAGATTACTAAAGACAATAAATCAAGCAATCACTCAATAAAGCAGTAGTCACACACTATTGAAAAAAGGGGAAAAAAACAACAACAACAAAAAAGATTTATTTTGTGATTGTATGACATCTTATCTAAGCATTTCCAGGTAATAATGAAACGCTCTTCGCCATGTCTTTACATTTTAAACAGACCAAATCAGTGGGAGGAGACCGATGAACAAGGACAAAAATGGCTTGCACTGTTTAATTTCCCCCACAAGATGGCGCTCATAACCTTTCTTTTTTTTATTTAGCCAGAAACACACTTTGACCTGAACACGCTGCAGTTTTATCTTGGAGATCACAAAGCTGTTTTTATGCCTGTCTATTAGGAAATCACAGCAAATATTTATAATTAGCTGGAAGCAATTAAACTAATAAAAAGTGTTGCGAGTTATTTACATTCCTTTTGTGTGCATATCCTTCTGGTTTGATAAAATGCCTGTTTTATGACTGTAAAAGTCTAATGGCTTTCTTGTTAGAAATTAAAACATCAGTGCTGTATTCTCAAAAATGTGTTTGTTAATCAGAACAATACTTGCTGTTTTTAAAATAAAAGCATCAAGTATTTATACTTAGGCTGTGACTGTGAGACAGTGGTCTAACTCTAAATGCTTGATGTTTTTATTTTAAATCTTAATCAAATCTGTTAAACAGAAAACGCATCAAAATTTGCAGCTTTGACATATGGGCTCTTCAAGTCCAGCTTGGAGACGTTTGTCATTTATTGCTTTTTATCTGCAGTTCTCATGTATTTTAACTGAACAAACAGAGATAAAATTGTTTATTA